TTAGGTTCTGGACCTAGTCTAGTGTCTGTGTCAGCGGGTTGAGTCTGGATCAACGCCAGGAAGTAGTCCAGAAGAGGTGAGTCTCATTCAAGATTTCAATTCGGTCAAGACCATATTTGCATGGTATTTTAAATCAGGAGATGAATCTTAATTTGAGGAATTAAGGGCTGCACTCCTTTCAGACCAAAGAGGTTTCAAATTACCTCTATAAAATGCTACTTTGTAAAGCATTAAGGTTGAACACTCAAGCATTAATTTACAAAGTTGGTTCCTCATATTCTGTTCTGGTTATCCAATCAATATATACAAGTAAAGAAGATTTCTCAACTTGTTCATGTTACGGAGAAGATAGTGTGCTCGTCAAGTCCATGGTGGTGCTGGAGTAGGTTTTGGAGTAGTTGAAGTTTAATCTTTAGAGTGTAATGTAGTCTCCTATTGTACTCCTGTTTATCTTATAGCGGATTTGGGTTGACGTGAGTGGCCCCGTAGACGTAGGAGTGGAGCCCCGAACAACGTGAACATTTCTTTGTGTCTGGATCCATTTATTGCTTTCTTTATTCTGTCTGGAGTAGATCTTGGAGCTAGTCCAATTTAATAAGTAATCTAAAATTGAAGTAGGAACATTAAGGTTTTTTCTTGCATTAAAGATCCACAAGCTTTTTCAATAATACTTGTGGAAACTTCTGGACTTATTGTTGGAACGTTATGCTGTGCAACCGTGTGCACCATTCAAGGTGCGCACGGTTCAATTCAGAATTTTTATACTGTAGATTCATAATTTCTATACTGTAGATTCATAAAATCTATACGGTAGATTCATAATTTCTAAACCGTAAATTCATAATTTAAATATAGTAGATTCATAATTTCTATATTTTCGGCCGAGTCACCCATCCTGATGGAGTGAAGGTGTCAACACTAGACGATGATGGATAAGATTGTGTTGCTACTACTAATGTCGTCTACAAAGAGGTTTCAATAATGTGTAAATACAATCGTTGATATTATGTTTTTTTAAATGAAAAAATTGTTATATATCTAGACAAAAAAATATATCTTCCATACAAATGAATTAAGATATATAGCAATTCATTCCTATAACTGAGTTGCTAGAGAACGAGCCCCATTTGCCTAATTTATAAAAAAAAAATACTAAACAATGATAAATAAAATCTCCAAAGTTACATCACCGCATGCATACATCTACACATTAACTATTAATTTGAGCATTTATTTTCTCAAATTCAAGTAATGATAACATCAAAACACATAAATAATCCAAACCATATCTTCAATTGCACTATATAATATTTGATGTTCGAATTTAAATAATTATATATCGATCCAAATATTCTTAATAAATTATCACAAATCCATTCCGTGCATCGCACGGGCGAAAATACTAGTATATATAATACTAATTAACTTCATCATTAAAAAAAAAAAAACAAAAACAAAACTTACTGAACTTATGTAAAAGGTCGAAATAGTTTCAACCGAATGTTCATTGAAACAACAATCCATTGTGGTCTGGGCAAGCAAGACTCTCAACATAAAAACACATACTAATAATGTCTTTATGATAAAAAGTAAAGGACGGGAAGTCCATCAGAACTTTCTTCAATTCATCTTTTTTCCGATTATAAGCATATACATGCTCCACACCCTTACCGTTACGCATGAATAGTACTTCTTGTGCATTCTTTTTTAGAGAATAGAATGTTAATGTGAAGCCATAACTCCTATAAATATCTGTATGTTTAGGCATTTGGATAGCAAACGCAGTCATCCATGATTCTATTATGCCATATTCCTTCATAATCAATACTAATAATTGTTCCGTGTGATACACGAACTATTATTAATTTAACAAATTTATCAATTAAATTTTTTACATTCTCTAAATTATATACTTGAGATTTTTAGCTCCCAGAAATATTCATCTTCCCCAGATCGCACGCTATAAAGCTTTATAAGAGATTCGATCTAAGCTCCCAGAAATATTCTTCTCCCTAATCTAGCCACGACCATCCTCCCAATTCCAGCTGCGACCAAAACATAATTGTAGTATTGGTTGTGGATGATGACTTATTTATATATAGTGTTAAAGTAGGTGTAGATGTTCATGTAAATATTGATTCTGAATTTTAAATTTATCTCCAATCAATTAATGTTAGTCTTGAAGATTGTAAAGTCATTTATAATTCAAAACATGTGGTTATTGGAATTTGCAAAAATGTTTTGTTTATTGAAGTAAATGTGAACACAATTAATGCATTCATACTTTGGTAATGTCATTTTCATTACATGATGGGTGTTGAATCCAACAAATAATAATTTACTTACTCTAATAAAATTGCAATAATGATGAGTAAGGTCGTACCCACAGAGATTGGTTCGATTTAATTTTAAGCCAAGATTAAATTATGAATGGAATGATAATTCAAGTTCAAAATGCAATAATAAAATAGCGAAGAATATTAAGTATCAAATAAAATGAATCAACAGAAAACTAGTATCCAACCCAAGACATAATATCAGAATTGATTCAAAGGAGTGATCATTGACATAAAGTGTAATCCTTTTATCCTACACCAAACTGGTTATGGTTATTAACAAGCTCTAACAACCTATCTCTCCTTACTTTATCGGTAATCAAAACAGGCTCTTCAATTACTTCCCTAGACAATTAACAACCCTAAACAAGCTCTTAGGATTTAATTAATTACCAGCATTAAAAATTAGAAAGACTACCAATTCTAGCCAACAGACTCGCAAGCTCGGTCTATCTAAACTAGATTTTACATCTCCATAACATAAGATTGAAAATCTAATTTATAATCAACTATGTTATTTTACCACTAAGGTTTAGAATACTTAAACAATTACGGATTCAAGAATTCTAAATGGCAATTTACTGGAATGAAAATTGAACAACGGATCCTATTTGCACAATTAATCAAAGCAGCAATATATCAAGATAATAGAAGATATAAAAATAATATAGCATAAAACAAAACCAAATTAAATCTCACAATCCTAAAAGAACCAAAACTTCAATTATTCTTGAGTTGGAAAATAAACTTAGCAGAACATAATAATTAAAAGTTTACAGAAAAATAAAATTGTTCTAAAAACTGACTAAAACTGATTGAAAACTGATTGTTCTCTACTGAAAAATCCAGCCCTATTTATACTAGTTCAGACTCCTAAAAACAACCATAATTTCTCTAACATTCACAAATAAAATCAATTTCTTCAATCACATAAAACTTAGGAAATAAATAATCTTAAATTTCCTAACCATAGAAAATTAGCAATTACTCTCTGCTTCACGCCTTCACCATTGTGTCGTCCAAACTCGTAGCAATTCACGGATGCCCAACAGACGGAGTCTTCGATTCGTAGAAATTCGTGGACGCCATTCGAAGAAAAGGTCTTCCTTTGGTGTCGATGATTCTGCTGTACGCACAAAGCTTAATTAAAACAAAACCAAAATAAAAGCAAATAAAACAAAAGACACTTGGGCTAGCCGATAAAACAATTAAAACATTGGCATTGGCTAACTAATTAAAATAATAAAAAGAAAAATAATTAACCCAAGTCATCAACTAAACCCAATTCTTACTAATTTGCTCATCAAGTCTAATTATTTATATAATTATTATATTAGTACAAAATATAAAATAAAATTTAAAATAAATAAAACTAATTTATTATAAGAATTAATCTAAATTAAATATATAAATAGTGCTTATCATTACACGATAGTCATTTTCATCCTTCCTAAGGTAATATGTTCTTTAATTTCTCTGAATGTATCAAAATATATATTTTTTTAAAAAGGAAGGAAATACTGAAGAGAGAGATCTTTTGCTGATTTTTTTTTTCCCTTTAAATTATTGACAATGCCATTTTCATTTTAATTGCTGGATAAAACTATGATTTTTGAATCGTTTTCCCTGTTAATATCTTACACAATAGCTCGTTCTGTATAGTAAGCTGTGATCTTGTGAGATTATTTTTACTACGTTAACCTTGGTTAACAATGAGTACTCATAACCTAATTATTAAAAATATGCATATAAAAAAAGGTACAAAATTCATTCTGAATTCATCCTACACAGAATCAAAATAAACGATACTATTGCCAACCAAGCTCGAATTCGAGTTGGCTCGAGCTTGAGTTCGAAAAAATATATGGTGGCTCAAGCTGAAGTTCAATCAAATTTTAAAATAAATGATATTATTGCCTCCCTACTTAGGGTGACAAATAACCAGAACCAAGCTCGAATTCGAGTTGGCTCGAGTTTGAGTTCGACAAAATATATGGTAGCTCAAGCTGAAGCTCAATCAAATTTTAAAATTTAAACTTTAATTTGGTTCACTAATTTTCATATAGCAGCTCAAGCAAGCTCAAGTCAGATTGCTTGAACTCGAGTTCAACCTACCTAACTCCAATGCAATGCTACAATTAATAATAAAAATTGATCTATTCATAAATAAATAATACAAACTTGATAGAATTTAGAGTCCAAATAAAAATATAAAACAAGCTTATTTTAAAACCATATTTTTTTTTTTTAAAGTTCAAATTAAAGTCCAAACATCAAATATTTAAAGTTAAAAGCAGCAGCTGAAACTCTCGTAGTCTGTTAAATTGTCAAAATTAAACAATGTAAATAATTTGCAAAAGAAAATCAACAGATAATGATCCAACAAATATAAAGAAAATACTAGTGTTTACAAAGCCTCAAATCCAATAAAGAAAGCAAAATTGATATTCAAAGTCTTGAAAACTGCATACATAGAGTAAAAGCATGCATGGAATTTCAGCCGCCAATTCACAACACAACAGGCTGGATATTCTAGCCTTGAAAAATCGCATATGCTAATGACACGGTCAAGCACATAAACAGGTGCTAAGAGCCTAAGAAACACCTACCTTGAATTTGGGCAAGGTGTTGGTGCTGCGTCATTATCATCATCAGATCAGATCATCACCTCTCCAAATCAATCCATTGTGGCCGGTCGGGGCACGCAAGACTCTCAACATAGAAACGCATACTAACATGGATTCTACGATCTGATCGGGTTAGGAAGTTCATCGAATCTACCTTCAGTTCATCTTTTTTCCGATCATAAACATATACAACCCGCTTACACCAACCCATAGTATGCAGGAATAATACTTTTTGTGCATTCTTATTTTGAGAATGGAATGTGAAGCCAAACCTCCAATAAATATCTCCAAATTCAGGCATTTTGAGAGCAAATGCAATCATCCATGATTCTTGTTTGCCATATTCCTTCATAATCCATACTGTTTTGGTTTTGGGTTCCTCTTTCTCTTCCTGAACCACGCATGCCGCCATGCATAAACAGTCATTTATAACCCCCAATCCTAATATGGAGAAGTTTTCTCTCAGTTTGGAAGTGGGCAAGGGCAAGATTCTGAATTCGTCATGCACAGGATCAAAATATATGATCCTATTCTTATACCTATCCCAATCTTTCATGTCACTTGCCAACCAGTGAAATGTATCCCAATCTTTCATGTCACTTGCCCACCAGTGAAATGTATTGCGAAACTCAACACTGTCGCCTTTAAGAACAGAATCCAAGTTACAAGGGAAATGCATTGGTTGCCACTCTTTGTGGTTGAGGCTGGCAGAGATGACAAATCGATCGCCAAAATCATGACCCAACCGTATCAAGTGGCGGCGAAGTAATAGGACAACCTTGTAATCTCTAGTGCAGGAGTCGTAGCATAATCCTGCTTCAATGATAATCGGGTTTAACTTCTCCGGATATGGCAACTCGAGCACTTTCGTCGAACACTTGGTGGATGGGTTCCACAACCAAATATCTTTCTTAGCCACCTGAAGAAGCACAAACCCGTTGCAAGAACACAAAACACAAAGATCGTTTCCCATGCTTGCACGAATGAATGGATACACATTTCCGAACGGCCATTTATGCCTTCGAAGACGAAGATCATGGCTTGTAGATCTAACTAAGAATCTGGAAATCGGTCTCCATCGACGATCTCGATCCTTGCTTATGGATTCGATCGAGAGGAAGATCACTCGTCGCTGTCCACGATACGAGAACTTGAAATCTGAGTCGTCTATCAACGAACGCCACTGTTTACATACGCACTGGCATCGGATCACAGACTTCACCGGCAACTGCAAAAGTATAAGTCGAATGATTTCATTAGGTATGTTTGAGAATGGAGTTGAAGCTTCCATGTATCGAATAAGAAGCTGAATATCGATCGAGGAAGAGGCGTATTAGAAGTAGGGTTTAGTTTAGAGACTCCCTCCTTTTATAGCCACGGAATAAAATTATCGCCGTACCACTAGTTCTGGCCAAAATATAAATAAAATATCTGGCTTAATTTATTATTATTTTTTTAAATAATCATGGCATTTTATGGCAGGTTATCAAATCATCAAGGGCGGATCTAGAAATATTTTTCAGTGCGGCGAAAGATTAAAACTAATAAGATATTTTGTAAAAATACTTACAGGCCAGACCATAAATATTGTTAATTAGAGATGAAAAATCAAATTACATCAAAACACGATAGAAATATTATTTAAAAAAAATATAAAATATAATTAATTAGATGAAATTATTCGAATAGAAAACACACTATAAATCACTCATCTCACTATTAATTAAAAAAATTGAAGTAAAAAAAGAAAAGAAGCCACAATCTATCTATATCTATCTATATCTATATATTATTATTATTATTATTATTATTATTATTATTATTATTATTATTATTATTATTATTATTATTATTATATATAAAAGTAAAATCCTCCTAACAAATTTTCCCCCCAAAACTTTTGTAGTAAAACTTATTTGGTAAGTAATTGTCAAATGGAAACTAAATAAAATCTATTAATTGGTAATATTATATATGGTATTATATTCTATAATATAATATAATTGATAATATTATTGTTCAAGTATAATAAAAATATTATTGTTCAAGTATAAAATAAAATTAAAATTATAACAACAACAACAACAACAACAACAATAATAATAATAATAACAATAATAATAATAATAATAATAATAATAATAATAATAATAATAATAATAATAATAATAATCCAAACAAAACTATATACAAAATAAAATTAAATTAAAAAAAAATAATTAGAAGACAAAGGTGGCTCCCCTTAGTAAATGATGTGGGATCATTTTGATCCCACATTGAAAATGTATGGAAAGAGGAGCTCTTGATCTCCTCTATATAAGAGGAGCAATGCTCCTCTTACAACCATACAATTGCTTGCCCATCAATGTGGGCAAGTATTGAGAAGTCCAAAGACTTTTTATAGTACTACTATTGACCCGACAAATTATGCTGTGGAACTATGTCTACCTTGCAAGGTAGACATGGTTCAAAAATAGTTCATAATTATGAATATAATAATCAATATATAGTTCAAAAATTATGAATATATAGTTCTATAATTATGAACATAGTGTTGTGAAAATAATTATGAACACATAGTTATCTAATTATTAATATAGAGATTCAATAATTGTGAATATGAAGTTTAAAAATTATGAATATATATCTTTATAATTATGAACATATAATTCAATAAGTATGAACATAGAGTTCTGTAATTATGAATATAGAGTTCAATAATTATGAATATGAAGTTCAAAGATTATGAATATATAGCTTTATAATAATGAACTTATAGTGCAGTATTTATGAACATAGAACTGTGTCCACCTTGCAAGGTGGACACGGTTCCACAACCTATTAAAACCCAAGGTGTCAAATGGCTCTTATTTTAAAAAAAAAAACTTATCTTACTGGATTCTTAATTATTTTTTTAATTTTTTTTTTTAATTTTAGGGGGTTTGGGAAAGATTAACAAAAAATGTCTATGAGTTGTTTTAGTTTTTAGCAGTTTCGAGCAAATTGTTAAGTTATTAAATAATATTTTTGGTGTTTTGATAAAATATAAAATGTTAAACAGACGAATTTTTTAAAATTTTGACGAATTTGCCAAATAATCAAATTACAACAACAACAACAATAATAATCCAAACAAAACTATATACAAAATAAAATTAAAATTTAAAACAAAAAACAAAGGGGAGTCACGGGCTCCCTTTGTAAATGATTTTGAGATAATTTTTATCTCACATTGAAAATGTTTGAAAAGAGAGAGTTCCTCTATATAAGAGGAGCAATGATCCCCTTACAAACATAATTTCTTGCCCATCAATGTGGGCAAGTATTGAGATGTCAAAAGGTTCTTATTTAAGAAGCCTCAACTCTGTCTTCTTATTTTAGTTTTTATTTATTTATTATTTATTTATTTATTTATTATTAATGGGGGTTGTGGAGATTAACACAAAATGTATGTATTGTATTAATTTTTAGCCATTTGGAGCAAATTACTGAGTTAAAATGACGAATTGGTTAAAATTTTGGGGAATTTATCAACAATTAAATAAATAAATAAATAATAATAATAATATAATATAATATAATATATAATATAATAATAATAATAGTAATCCAAAAAAAAACGATATACAAAATAAAATTAAAACTAAAATAAATAAGAAGAAGAGACAAGGGTGCCACGGACTCTCCTTTGTAAATGATGTTGGATCATTTGATCCCACATTGAAAATGTTTAGAAAAGGAGCTCTTGAGCTCCTATATATAAGAGGTGCAATGCACTTTTTACAAACATAATTGTTTGTCCATCAATGTGGGCAAATATTGAGAGGTCCAAAGATTTTTTTTTTTTTTTTTTGTACTATTGACCCGATAAATTATGCTGTGGAATTGTGTTCACCTGGCAAGGTAGACACGATTCCAAAATTGTTCATAATTATGAATATATAGTTCAACAATTATGAACATATAGTTCTATAATTATGAACATAGTGTTGTGAGCATAATTATGAATATATAGGTATTTAATTAGGAATATAGAGATTCAAAACTTATTTGGTAAGTAAATGTCAAATGGAAATTAAATAAAATCTATTAATTGGTAATATTATATATGGTATTATATTCTATAATATAATATAATTTATAATATTATTGTTCAAGTATAATAAAAATATTATTGTTCAAGTATAAAATAAAATTAAAATAACAACAACAACAACAACAACAATAATAATAATAATAATCCAAACAAAACTATATACAAAATAAAATTAAAATTAAAAAAAAAAAAAAAAGACAAAAGTGGCTCCCTTTAGTAAATGATGTGGGATCATTTTGATCCCACATTGGAAATGTTTGGAAAGAGGAGCTCTTGATCTCCTCTATATAACCATACAATTGCTTGCCCATCAATGTGGACAAGTATTGAGAAGTCCAAAGGCTTTTTATAGTACTATTGACCCGCCAAATTATGCTGTGGAACAGTGTCCACCTTGCAAGGTAGACGTGGTTCAAAAATAGTTCATAACTATGAATATAATAATCAATATATAGTTCAAAAATTATGAACATATAGTTCTATAATTATGAACAGAGTGTTGTGAGCATAATTATGAACACATAGTTATCTAATTATGAATATAGAGATTCAATAATTGTGAATTGTGAATATGAAGTTCATAAATTATGAATATATATCTTTATAATTATGAACATTTAATTCAATAACTATGAACATAGAGTTCTGTAATTATGAATATAGAGTTTAATAATTATGAATATGAAGTTTAAATATTATGAATACATAGCTTTATAATAATGAACTTATAGTTCAGTATTTATGAACATAGAACTGCAAGGTGGACACGGTTCCACAATCTAAAATCCAACGTGTCAAATGGCTCTTATTTTAAAAAAAAAAACTTATTTTAATAGATTCTTAATTTTTTTACTTCTTTTTTAATTTATTAGGGGATTTGGGAAAGATTAACCAAAAATGTATATGAGTTGTTTTAGTTTTTAGCAGTTTCGAGCAAATTGTTAAGTTATTAAATAATATTGATGTATTGATAAATATAAAATGTTAAACAAACGAATTTCTTAAAATTTTGACGAATTTGCCAAATAATCAAATTACAATAACAACAACAACAACAACAATAATAATAATCCAAACAAAACTATATACAAAATAAAATTAAAATTAAAAACAAAAAAAAAAACAAAAACAAAAACAAAAAAAAAAAACAAAAAAAAAAAAAAAAAGACAAAGGGGAGTCACGGGCCCCCTTTGTAAATGATTTTGAAATAATTTTTATCCCACATTTAAAAATGCTTGAAAAGAGAGAGCTCCTCTATATAAGAGGAGAAACGATTCCCTTACAAACATAATTTCTTGCCCATCAATGTGGGCAAGTATTGAGATATCAAAAGGTTCTTATTTAAGAAGACTCAACTTTATCTTCTTATTTTAGTTTTTATTTATTTATTTATTATTTATTTATTATTAATGGGGGTTGTGAAAGATTACCACAAAATGTATGTGTTGTATTAGTTTTCTAGCTATTTGAAGCAAACTACTGAGTTACTATATAAGTTAAAATGACAAATTTGTTAAAATTTTGGCGAATTTATCAGTAATCAAATAAAAAAATATTATAATATAATATAATATAATATAATAATAGTAATCCAAACAAAACGATATACAAAATAAAATTAAAATTAAAATAAATAAGAAGAAGACAAAAGGGTGTCACGGACCCCCCTTTATAAATGATGTTGGATCATTTGATCCCACATTGAAAATGTTTAGAAAATGAGCTCTTGAACTCCTCTATATAAGAGGAGCAATGCTCCTTTTGCAAACATAATTGCTTGCCCATCAATGTGGACAAGTATTGAGAAGTCCAAAGATTCTTATTTTTTATTTTGTACTATTGACCCGATAAATTATGCTGTGGAATGGTGTCCACCTTGCAAGGTAGACACGATTCCAAAATTGTTCATAATTATGAATATATAGTTCAACAATTATGAACATATAGTTCTATAATTATGAACATATAGTTCTATAATTATGAACATATAGTTATGTAATTATGAATATAGAGATTCAAAACTTTTTTTGTAAGTAAATGACAAATGAAAATTAAATAAAATCTATTAATTCTTCCAAAACGATGAACCCGAACCCTAAGGGCCCCCACACTCCAACCTGACAGAGCATTTGGGAGGATGTAAATCATGGTAACTCAACTGAAAAATAAAATCTATTAATTGGTAATATTATAT